TTTTCCTTATAAAAAGTTGAGAAGGTGAACGTGTTCCTCTTGATCTTATGGTGCATCCGTCCTTGGGTGTGGGTATCACATATGGTGTGAGTCTGACATCTATATAATTAGACGTAGAAGTTTCAATAAATTTTTAAAATACATAGGGTTATTTGGCATGATTGATACAAGTGCACTTATTTGGATTATATTATCTCTCTACTTTTCTGTAAATTTTTTTATAAAAAATTTAAAAAATAAATTTTTTAGATCATTTCAAACCATCTCATAATATATCTCAACAATATATACTCTAGATTGAGGAAATGGACAGCAAAGAAAAGAGTTAGTTGTGAAAAGGAGGAGAAAAAAAAGGGGTTGAAAGTTTCCTTTCTTGTTTGGTCAGACAATACTTCATTAAGGAGAGATATACTTTAATTTAAGTATTTTAATATATTATTATAAAAAATTTCTCTCCTTCCGTTTCCTCCCAATTTTATAAAAGAAGTGGGGTGCTTAAAATATTAGTACACTTCTCCTCTTTTAAAAGAATCCAAACATAATTTTGCCTAATTTATTCCTCCAATCCTTTACTTTTCCTCTTAAATTATCAATCCAAACATAAAATTTGAGTGAAGTTGGAACAGTTAATAAATTGAATTATCATTTTGATTTGGACTTTTTATTGATAAATTTTATTTAGAAGTGTTCTAACTTAAGAAGTTTATAGATGAATTTTTTAACCTACTTAGTCCCAGTATTTATACTTTTATTCCATAAAGTCTTTTTTCTTGATTTATATTATTTTCTTAGACTCTTTGGTCCTTATATTTAATATTGATATTTAATGTTTGGGGAGGAGAGAGAAGGAAAAGGACCAAGTCATAGCAAATTTCATACACAAATTAAAAAATATTGATGTTATTATCTTATATTATTATATAATGTGAATATATTTTTAATTGACAACACATTAAAAATAATGTGAACATTTTCTCTTATTTGATGTGAATATATTTTTAATTGATAATACATTAAAAATAATGTGAACACTCTCTTTCATCTTATGTGAACATTTATAACACTTTTTCGAAAAATTCTTTCTCATCTAATGTAGTGATGTGAACGTTCACAACATGTGAACCTTCTTATTTTTAATTGACAACACATTAAAATAACGTTCATTACATTTTTAATTGACAACACATTCTTAACCACAACATGTAGTGATGTGAGCATTCACATGTTAACATTCTCTCTTATCTAACATAGTGATGTGAACGTTTACATTAATATATTTTAGTATAAATATTCACATTATGTAATTAACAACACAATGACAAAAATTCATTTCAAATTAATATGAATATAATGATGTGAATATTCATTTCAATTACATGATGTGAATATTCACATCATGTAATTGACAACATAATGACAAAAATTCATTTCAAATTAATATAAATATAATAATAGTCAACATCTTGATACATGAGAATTAGCAAAGTATAATGACAATCAACATTAAATATCAACATTAATAGGGGATAAGAGAGATTGATGGTGTTTTGGTCTTCTTACCTCAAATAGAACCTAATAGAATAGTCAAAAACAATATGGGTTGGATGGAATAAAACTCTTAGAAAAAAAATTCATCAAAAAAGTTCCCTTTTGATTTTTAGTTCTCGATTATCCAATGCACCTCAATAGGATACTAGCGGTCAAATCTGTTCTACTTAGGTCTCGTTTGGAAACTTGGTTTGTTATCAAAAATTAAAAAATCACTATAAATAATCATATCATTTTTTATATATTTTTTTAACTAAAATAGTCAATTTTCAAATCGGATCTCACCCGTGTCCTATTCTTCTTGATTTTATTTTTACAAGTTATTCTATAATAATGATTTGCTATATTTGATTTTTCATTAATTATTCATTAAATTTCATTGAATAGATTGTGTCCAACATAAATAAATACAATAATGATTCATCCCACTAAAAATATCACCACTAATAGCACTAATGCATTAAAAAAGTAAAAAAAAGAAAAAAAAAATACAACTCCAAGACTTAAACATCACATCATTAATAGCGAGACCCACTGCCACCTAATTAGTGGGAGCACTACCAAGCATTTTTCAAATAAATAAATGATTATTATACAGACATGGTACAATGGACTTTACTTGCCTATGTGGCAGTGATATAGTGAATATTTTTTTAAGTTACTTAAAAATACTAAAAATATATACTCACTAAAATTTTCTACAAACTTTAAGTTTGACATGATTAAAAAAAGTTAAAAAGTCAAAAAGTCATTATCCTATTTAAGTCATATTATCTTATTTAAGTCACATCACCTCTTTAACACATTATTTTAAATCCAACCCAAACCCAACTCATATTTTATAAAAAGTTAAAAAATACTTAGTCTTCCTAAACTAGGCCTAAATATAAATTAGTGTGATTTACCGTAACTATTATTGAAATCATGGGTGTGAGGTGTCGTTGTTAAGCTCTCTCTGTGTGATTGGACCAAACAATTTCCTGCCGATTTGAGTTCAATTAGACAGACCAAAAAAATCCTCCACTCTTGACGGTGGTGCTGGACTGGGAGGTCACCCTCATCATTAATTTATTTATTTCTTTCTTTTAATCGAGTGTTTGAATTATTTTATACACACTTTCACTTATGAGTTCTGAAATTAATGGTAAATCAATTTATTTATTTATTTATTTGGGTGAATAAGTCATAAATAAAAATAAAAGATTTATAAAATTACAAGGGGCATATCCTAAGACCTAAAGGAGCTAAAAAACAAAATCAACCAATAAGACGAAACTATTCAAGATCCATATTCTAATCAAAAGATAGGGAACATGAACAGAAACATAATCTAGACCAACTTAACCATTGGCACAAGTTTAATACAAAATTGTTCAAGAACAGAAATATAATCTAGACCAGCAAAATACAAAACTGTTCAAGAACACCTATGTAACCATTAGCACAAGCCTTAGACCAACTTAAGGAACACGAAGGAGAACTGTTACAAACCCAAACTTTAGATATTTTTTCGCTCTTGACAGTGGTGCTGGACTGGGAGGTCACCTTCATCATTGATTTGTTTATTTCTTTCTTTTAATCGAGTGTTTGAATTATTTTATACACACTTCCACTTAGGAGTTCTGAAATTAATGGTAGAGCAAACCTTAAGAGCATCTCCAACCCATCCTTCATATCTTTAAATATGAAGGATTTGCTCCTCCAACTTACCCTTTAAATTCATCTCCATTTGGGAGGAGAATGAGTTCATCCTCCATATTTGGAGGGAGGATGAAAAAATGGAGGATCCTCTAAAATACTATTCATTTATAAATTTGTTATTATATTACAAATAAATTTTAATTTATAAATTTAATTTTTATAAAATTGACATCATTAAAAAAGGTGAAAATATACCTTTAAAATGAGTATAATATTAAATATATTTTACAAAAATTTCAAAATTAAATATTTGTTAATTAACAAAAATTATTTACTTTTGGATTAAAATATTTTCTAGAGAAATCTTTAGAGAAGAAAATAATGATTAATGTTTTTAAAAAAAAATGCCCAACAAGTTCCAAAAAAAAAAAATGTTGTTGATAACACCCATCTGGAAGAAAATAAAGATTTGTGGTTGGAGTTTGAATGAATAATGACATACTCTATATTGACTTTTGGAATAAAAAAATTTATTTTCATCCTCTTGGTGAGAGGATTGGGTTGGAGTTGCTTTAAGAAGTCGCGTGTGGGATAGATTTTTTTTAATTATTTAAAAAATAAGAATTGTAAAAAAATAGTAAGAGAGTTTGGAATTTCATAAAGTTGTTCTCGTTAGAAACTTCATCTTTCTTAATATATAGTTGGGTTTTTTTTTTTAAGGTCCCTCGTATTAAGATTTTATAGCATAAAGGACATCTAATATTTTCATAATGTCTAAGGTCCCTCAAGTTGGTCCAGAGAAAATCAGTCCAGAGAAAATTCACATCACAGAGAAATTTCGCACTGTAAAATTCTCTGGACACATCACAGAGAAATTTCAAAATAATATTTTAGGCAGTCAGTTGGAACTATCAAGTGCACATTGATTGAAATACTAGTGATGTAGTTTGGTTGAAGACTCCAACAACTACAATTAAAGATGAACAGGTTACATCCTCACAAGAGATAACTACTATGGAACATGTACAAGAAGATATGACTACAATGATTTTTATTTTTTATATATATATATATATATATATATTATGTAAATGGAAAACTCCAATAATTTCATTTCTTTTAGGATTGTTTGGGAAGTGAGATTTTAACCTAATTTAGGTTAAAATTTATAAAAAGACAAAATCAGTTAAAATAATTAATAAGACAAAATGTCACATTAAATTCATGATCATTTTATTTTTTTTTTCACAAATATTATATCCAACTAAAAAAATACAATCATCTTTTCAAATATAAAAATTTTAACCTACTAACTAAAAATTAAAATAATTAATAAAATAATAACTTCCCAAACAACCACTATGTATGATCCAAACAGAATGTAACATTGAACCAACCAGTTCCGATTTAGAGTACTAAATTGGAAACTCTAAAAATACCACTAATGAAGTAACAGTGTAAAGAAAAAAAAATAAAAATAAAAGTCAAACTATCACTTTAGTGATAAAGTCCATATGATGCCACATTACTAGTGATGTATTAATGGTGCTAAATTAGTGGTACGAAGCATTTTTCTCGAACCAACCGTTGGAAATGATCATAGGTCTGATATTTGGCGCACATTCCAAATCATGCCATGACAAAGTTGCCACGCCCCACAGTCCACTCAGACACAACGGTGTCCTGTGATTGTCTCCTGCCCTCTTCACGTGAATTTTTTGGATCCAATTCATTAAAGCAAAGCCACGTGTCATAGTGGAACCCCCCAAGGCAGTCTCTAGAAATTGAGGAGGACGAGGAGGAGCTCTTCCCACAACGAGGTTTGAGAGGTCCTTCAGTAAGTTCTCTCTCAACTGTTTCATTTTTTCTCAACTGTATTTTGAAATTCAATCCTCTCACCCAACCCAATTGCTAAATCATAATCATAATCAACTACTTGTGAGAGATTTTCTTACTCTATTTACAACAACTTTTTGTAAATGAGATGAGATAATTGGTTTATCATTAAAAAAAGGTATGAGAGTGAGTATAACAAAATCTACCTGGGTTTTTTTTTTTAGTTGTTATTATTTGCTTTAGTTTCAATTCTGATTAAATATACTACTGAGGGTTTGAAGATCTTGCATCAAGTTTTGAATGATTTAATTGATTGATCATTGAAAAACTGTGTGCATATATGCATTATATATGCCATGCCATGCCTGTCTGCTGCCATTGTTGGTATTGTTGTTCTTGAATAATTTAAATCCATGAAACTGTAAAACTATTTCTTACGAGGAACCATTGTTATTGATTTTTTTGTTTTCTTTTCTTTGACCAATGATTGTTCTGCACCTTCCCCTCATAGATATCTATTAGAATTAAACTAGATGTCTCAAATCACCTCTTGTGTGGTCGAGAGATACTGAGACACTTTCTTATGATAGAGATAGTTTGGGACTAGGGGACTGGAAGACAGAACCGGACAGAGGATCTTGTGTGATAAAGAACAGATTCTAAATAAGATTCATAATTTTATGGGTTTGTGCATTATGCCAAAGTTAGGTGTGTACTCAATTTTTTCCCTTCCAAACACATTAATAAATACTAATTGGGCGTTATATTTTCGTTCTTAATTTTAAAGCTTTTGTAGTGGGGTTTGTCCTCAAAAAATTTTGTATTTAAGTATTTGGTATTTGGAGAAGTGAGGTAGTAAAAATGCTTACAATTTATAACAGTTTGTATTTTTGCGTTTGAATAAGGACACTACCAATGGCAACTGTGACTGCATCTCGCTTTGTATCAAGAAGCTCAAATGTCAATAGCGGAGGAGAAACTGTAACAAACTTGGGTCAGATTGGCCTGAAGAGACAAACCATGACTCACAATGGATTAAGATCTTTGAACAAGTTGGACATGCTACAAATGAAAAAGAACGCAAAAGCAATCGCCAAGCATGCCAGTAATAAAAATGGTCCCAAAACTGAGAATGATAGACCATCAAGCGCTGTTATATGCGGAAGTGGGATGAACATTGTTTTTGTGGGAGCTGAGGTGGGTCCATGGAGCAAAACTGGAGGGCTTGGTGATGTTCTTGGGGGACTGCCACCAGCCATGGCGGTAAGCATCTGTTTCCAGCTCTATTTTTTTTTTTTTTTTGCCTTTACTATACTTGTTTATTTGCTACTATAGTTGAATCATCTTCTTGGTTAGTTGTGTGGTAAATTGGTAAAACATTTAGGATGATGAATTTTTAACTGATCTGATTTCTATGCCAAATCATCTAGGCCAATGGGAATCGTGTTATGACAGTTTCCCCACGTTACGACCAGTACAAAGATGCATGGGATACTCATGTTCTTCTTCAGGTAAATTCTATTTTGTGCTTGTTTTGCCAAATTCCAACCTTTTCCATGCAGGGTTAGGTTTTACTATATACTTGTCTAGCGAATAATTCTTGGGATTAGTTTCTTCAAAGATAAGTTTCTATATTGCAGATAAAAATTGGAGACCGAATAGAGACAGTTCGCTTCTTCCACTGCTACAAACGTGGAGTTGATCGTGTTTTTGTGGATCACCCAATGTTCCTGGAAAAGGTTTATTTCTGTCCTCAATTAACTGTTCTCGCATTTAGGGGTGAACTATATGTACTTTACCTGTAATAGTCAGCTTGATCTTAGTTCTGATGCTTGAATTTCTGTACTTTCAAAGGTTTGGGGTAAAACTGGATCTAAGATCTATGGGCCTAAGACGGGGGTGGATTACCAGGACAACCAAATTCGATTCAGTATATTGTGCCAAGTAAGTTATTCAATGCAACCTGTAGTTTCAAGCCCATAATTCCATGAATGGTTTTCATTCTTTGAACACTTGATTCAAAATAAAAAAGGGCAGTTGTTTTGTCATAACTTCCTACTATATTATATATGGAAAATGATTGTCAAGCAGAAATTTTATACTGAAAGCTCACTAAAAATGCTGTGGCAGTGAATTTTTTTGAAATTATAATCCACAGTGCTTGGTAGAAAAAAAAAAAAAAAAAAATTGTATATCATTGCTTATTATATATTAGAGAAGTAATCGGTCGATGGGCCGTCAAGGCAAAAAGTTGGCATTGTGCTCCAAATTTACATGGTTTTGCATTCAACACGAGTCAATCATCCATGTTCTTTTTTGTTTTACATAATGACCACCTGTGGTATATCATTGTTTTATTTCCTCTTACTGCCTACTCAAGATTTTTGTTAGCCTACGCCTGATCATGTATGCAGTTCTACACTATTGCTTATATAGCTGGCATTCATTTATTATGTTGAACTCAGGCTGCTTTGGAGGCACCAAGGATTTTGAATCTAAACAGCAATAAATATTTCTCTGGACCTTATGGTATGTTCCATTCTCAAAGTTTGTACCTTTATTTATCTATTTATTTCTGTTATAAATGGCGTAACATATCTGTCTTGTACAAGTGCAGGGGACAATGTTGTCTTCATTGCCAATGATTGGCACACTGCTCTTCTTCCATGTTATCTGAAGACCAAGTACAAACCTATGGGGATCTACAAGAATGCCAGAGTAAGATTGCTCAATTACGTCGTTAAGAATTTCAGGCAAAGAATAAAATTAAAACAGAAGAACTTTAGCCAAATGACAAGGACTATTTGTAGGGATTTAACACTAGTACTGACAAATGATGGCAGGTTGTTTTCTGCATCCATAACATTGCCTACCAAGGGAGATTTGCTTTTGCAGACTTCTCTCTACTTGATCTTCCGGAACAATTTAAGGGCTCTTTTGATTTTATTGATGGGTATGTATGCAGATTTGAGTATTTGAAATTGCTATTATGGGAGATGTCTTAACATCGGATGGAATTTTCCAATTGCTATGGTTTGAGAATTTTTTTTCTCTTGTCAAGTTATGACAAGTCTTCGCATGTTGCAGGTATGACAAGCCTGCCAAGGGAAGGAAAATTAACTGGATGAAGGGTGGAATATTAGAATCAGACAGGGTCGTAACAGTGAGCCCATACTATGCCCAAGAACTTGTTTCTGGCATAGATAAGGGTGTGGAATTGGATAACATCATTCGTAAGACTGGTATAACTGGTATTGTCAATGGCATGGATGTACAAGAGTGGAATCCATCTACAGATAAATACATTGATGTCAAATATAATGTCACAACTGTAAGATTCTTCTAATTCTTTTTCTACTGTCTTAAATTTCCATTAATCTCTCAATATTTTTGTGGCTTTAAAAAGCCTCAGCGTATTACAATTGTGATTTTTTTAGGTCATGGCTGCAAAGCGTCTTTTGAAGGAAGCACTTCAAGCAGAAGTTGGGTTGCCTGTGGACGCAAACATCCCCTTGATTGGATTCATTGGTAGACTAGAAGAGCAGAAAGGCTCGGATATCCTAGCGGCTGCCATTCCTAAATTCATTAGAGAGAATGTTCAGATTGTAGTTCTTGTAAGTTTAGTGTTTTTTTTTTCTTAGGTAACTTTTTTTTTAAAAGAGAACTTTTATTTGTCGCTTTTTTCTGGTTTGTGAAATGGATTTGCTCTTTCTATTAGGGCACTGGCAAGAAATACATGGAGAAGCAGCTAGAAAAGCTTGAGATATTATATCCCGACAAGGCCAGAGGAGTGGCAAAATTCAACGTACCCTTGGCCCACATGATTATTGCTGGGTCTGATTTTATGTTGCTCCCTAGTAGATTTGAACCTTGTGGTCTCATTCAGTTGCATGCCATGCGATATGGATCGGTAAACCCTGTTTTTCCCCCTGTTTGGCTACTGCTTTTAAAACTTAATGAATCATGCACAATTACTTGCTTAAATTGATCATTCTTCCATGATTTGATTTTATTTTTTCGTCTTCTTCTTTTATGGTACTAACCGTAATTACAATTGGACCAGGTTCCTATTGTTGCCTCAACTGGCGGGCTAGTTGACACTGTCAAAGAAGGTTACACAGGGTTTCAGATGGGAGCTTTCGACGTGGATGTAAGTCCTGACAGTCCTTGCCCACATTGCATGATTAATCTACTTTTCCAGCTCCCATTCCTTTCAATTTAGTACTAATTGTACTCACTACTATGGAGAAAAAAATAATAAAATTGTGGGGTCCTATTGGTTGTGCAGTGCGATGCAGTTGATCCAGCCGATGTAGATGCAGTAGCAACAACTGTGACGAGAGCCCTTGCAACCTACGGTACACCTGCATTAAAAGAGATGATCCAAAATTGCATGGCACAAGATCTCTCCTGGAAGGTGAGCATAATACAATACATTAGCACAAAGTATAGTCTTTAATTTAAAAAATTGCAAAACAGAATGAATGAACTTGAAGTTTCTGTTTTTGTTTATGTTTTCTTAGCAATTAATTATAATGGGATACGGTGGATGCTGATGATGCAGGGACCGGCGAAGAAATGGGAACAGTTGCTGCTGGGATTGGAAGTAGCTGGGAGTGAACCTGGCATTGAAGGGGAAGAGATTGCTCCACTTGCCAAGGAAAATGTTGCCACTCCTTGAGCACCCCATTTGGTCTCAGCCTTCTAGTAATGGTGGTGGCCAAAAAAAAAAAAAACAACAGCTCGCTGTTCGGATTGCATCCAGAGGCAGAAGTACTTTTTTTTTTTATGGATGGTCGTCGGTTGGTCTTATGGGTTTGGTTGGACTCGTTCAAATGCATGTAACTAACAAATGCTTCCTTTCTGTCTAAAGTAGTGTGTCCATTTTGATTACCATTAGGCCAAGTAAATATAATAATCCAATAAAGGCGGCTTTTTCTTCTCCAGTCCTGCTTTGCATACTGTATACATATATATATATATTGATCAAGAAAACCATCAAGTACAGAGAATTGAAATTTAAACACCTTACAAGACCCATAGGTGGTTGAGCAACCCAGTTAGTTGGTAAAGTGTCATGTAAGCATGCATAAGCAGCCCAATGTGCTGCCCCATTGCCAACTCTGTGAAACCACTTAAAGGCCAAATGTCCGCAGCTAGCCATTGAACGAATATCGCTCATCACTGCACACAACTCCCATGGAGGAACCCCTTCAGACACACAAATGAATGACAGTCTTGCAATCACTTTCAATTTCCACACTAGCGAGGTCAAGTGCGAGTGCCATGACACATGCATGACGCACTGCAATTGCATCACCTTGGCTTATTGTTGTTAATTTGACTTTTGCTGCCATTCCATCCACCAGCTAACCCTTTTCATCCCAAAGAAGAACTGCAACTGCACGTCTCTATCGCCGCGAATCAACAGCCGCATCACAATTAAATTTCCATTTTCCTCTCGGTGGAGGAATCCATCCATGCGCTCTGCATTGCAACCGAAGGAATGAAGGCCCCTTTATTTATGGACAAAAATTCAGCATCCTCTCGTCTAGCTTAGGCTATCACTGCTGCTGGGTCAACAAAACTATGGTTGTAAAGGTAATCGTTTCTCGCCTTCCATATATTCCAAGCTACCCATACCATCGAACAAATCGCAGTCTTGCCCCAACTAGATGCACCCAATGATTCAAAGCAGTTCCTAATCCAGTTCTTCACTGAATCCATTCCGAGCATATCACATCTCAGACCAGCCCACTCCCAAACCACACTTTTTGTCTCAGACCAACCCGAAGAAGAGGATGGCAAGTTCGATCCCAATTGAGCTTGCTTAACAGCTTCTTGATACCCTGATTTCACTGTATAGCTTCCTTTCGAATCATAATGCCACACAAGAGTATCATCCCAATCATTAATCGAAACTGGGATTGAAAGGATAGCTTCACAATCCCCCTCAGAAGCCAGCTGTCTAATCTTCGATTTATCCCACAACATTCGAGAAGGATCAATCACCTCGTTTACCCGTTGCACCAACACCTTACTGTTCCTTACCGATTGAATCTTGAAGCTTAGATTAGAGGGTATCCATTTATCATCCAAAAAATTAGTAGACCTTGCATTCAGAACTTGCCACCGTAGACCTCCTCTAAGAATCTCTCCCCCTTGAAGCAAAGTAGCCCTTGCCCACGAAGGTCGTGGTCCTCTCGACTCATGACAAAAATCTGAGTTGGGGCAATAGATTCCTTTCATAATCTTTGCGAATAGAGAGTCCGTAAATTTTATTAAGGAGTGCTCTATTAAAGGCCCGAAAATCCCGAAAGCGTAGTCCATCATTCCTCTTCGTCAAGCATAGTCTACTCCAACAGGCCCAGTGGATGCCTCTCCTCTCCAGATTGCCTTTCTATAAAAAAATTCCTAATGTAGGAACTCAATTTATCATATAGCTTATTGGGGAACAAAAAACATGCCATTGCATAAGTTGGCATTGCCTTGGCAACTGATTTAATTAGGACCTCTTGACCAGCTTGAGAAAGTAATTTCGCATGCCATTCTTGCAATTTAGATAGGACTTTTTTGCACAAAAAGTTATAAGCTTCAGCCTTTGAACGACCCGGGAAGTAGGCAAGCCCAAATAACGTGCATTTGCTTTCATCAATGGGATTCCAAGCGGTCCACACATCTCAAGTTGTGGTGACCGAGATACATTGCTTGAAAATTGCACTCCCGACTTGTTGAAATTAACAGACTGGCCCGAAGCTTCAGCATATATATTTAGCAATCTACAAACCTCAAGACATTCACCTGCCTCAGCCTTGAAAAACAACACAGTGTCATCTGCAAAAAATAATTGTGACAAGGTAGGACAACCACTTCGGACTTGTAATCCCGAAAATTTCCATTTTGTACACTATGAGTAATTAATTTCGAAAAAAACATCCATGACAAGAATATAGTATGGGGATAAAGGGTCCTTTTGTCGTAGTCCCCTCAATGGCTTGAAACTCGTCCTTTTGGCCCCATTTACGATAACCGAAAAAGTCACCATGGTGACACATTCCATTACCCATTGGATCCAATGAGAGTGAAGACCCATTTTAATCAACAAAGCCTTCAAAAAACCCTAATGAACACAATCATAGGCTTTATTGAAGTTCACTTTAAGTGCTAAATCCTCCCTCTTGCCTTTCTGTATCTTCATCCCATGAAATGCCTCATGAGCCACTATTATGTTATCTTGGATTATATTGGATAAGCCATCCCATCACAAAAGCTGATTGATTTTGCATGACCACTTCACTAAGAATCCCTTTTAATCTATTGGCAAGAGTCTTGTTGATCACTTTCACATTAAGGCCATGTTTGTTTGGGCGGATTGGATTAGGCTGGATTAGTATTCCCATGATTAATAGTCCTAGGACTATGAATCCCTTTGAATTGTGTATCATATCCTATGTTTGGATTGAGTTAGGATTATAAGGAAGGACTAATAGTTCAGACTTTGGTTTAGTCCTCCAATTTATATCCCATCCCCCTCTGTGGGATTGAATAGTCCATCATATGTGGGATACCATATCCGGATGGATTGTTAGTCCGTACTTCAATTGTTTAACCAAACATTGGATTAATAATTTTGTTAGACTATTAGTCCAATCCCAAGCTCATGTCCACCTAAACAAACATGACCAAAAGTTACACAAGCTAGTGCCTGAACTGCGTCATTTGTTTCAGAGCCTGCACTTTGACAAGAATACCCAGGAAATCCATTCGGTCCAGGTGCTTTCAAAGAGCCCAACTGGAAAACCACCATTTTAATCTCATCATCCGTCACATCTCGAACTAGAAGGGAACATATTATCTGTAATAACTCTGTCAACCACCCCTAGGGCTTTATCCATCCAGCCTACATCACCCCCAGAAAAAAGGTTCGTAAAATATGCAAACATGTGAGAATTAACTTCTAAATCTGAAGTAGGCTTCCATCATCCCTTTCAATTGCAAAATCTGATTCCGTTGGCTCCGTTGATTAATTATAGCATGAAAGAAAACCGAATTCTTATCCCTAAACTTGTGCCATCTCACCATAGATTGTTGATGTAAATACATCTCTTCCCTTTTCATAACCGTTTCCAGTTCTTGAAAGAGTTGCTTTTGTCGATCCTCATTATTCGAAGTGTGGGCTTGACTTTGATCTTGAGCAATTTGGCCTCGTAGTTTCTCAATTTGTCTTTTTTAGTTTCCAAATTCTTGGTTACTCTAAGATCACAGCTTCCTCTGATTCCTCTTCAACTTCTAAACAAGCTGAAACATATGAGAGCCCGCTTGATCTTGATCCCATGTAGGTTGAACTGTGGTCACACACTCTGAACTTGTGGTCCACAACTACTCAAACATGAACCTTCTAGGAACATGAACTAGAGGGACACAACAATTAAGCACCAAAGGACAATAATCTGATCCGATCCAAAACAAATCTCATGGAAAACTTGAGCATATGGAAAAAGATCCCTCCATTTAACCATAGCCAAAGCTCAGTCCAAATGCTCACGAACATTAGCCCCTTCACCTTGATTATTGGACCAAGTAAAAGCATTTTCCTTGAACCCCAAATCCACGAGATTACATTTCAATGCCATTTCTTGGAATTCATTCAGCTGTGAGACACTACATTCTGAACCACCTTGCTTTTCCAAAAGGAAAATGTTTGGTGACCCGAATTTTTGTGGCTCGAATGTATCAAAACAACGTTATTTTACACCCAAAATGACGTCATTTTGGGTGTTTCGAGCCAGTCGAGCCATGATTTTTTAGGCTACCTAGCATTGTTGTTTCCAAAATTAAGCCCTGATTGAGATCACCAATACACAACCACAGGTGCTGCATTTCCTTGGCCATACCAATCAAGTAATTCTAGAACTCTCTCTTATCTTGTCTTTGAGGAGGGGCATAAATGAAAGAAGCAACCCAACCCCATCTTGTATTTTTCGAAACTATACATCGGAAAATATTTTTTTGATTTGAAATGGACATCTAACGCAACCCCATACACCCACCAAAGGGCTAAGCCCCCCGATGCATCGCATGGGTCAACATAACATTTATTCAGAAATTAAGGCTTCGTCTGATACGCTCCAACATCGCTCTCTTATTCTTTGTCTCAATTAGGAAGATCATTGAAGGTCGATGGGTTGTGCAGAACCCTCGTAATACTTGGATTGTTAGGGGCAACCCAACCCTGACAGATCCAACTAATAATCAACATGAGTCATGTGGTTATTTCGAGCCAGCCACCACCACCCTTTCATCCTTATTCAATTTAGCATCCCTTCGTAAATCCAAATCCAGAACATTACACTCCACTTGTGAGCAGCAATCCCTATCATTCAAGGCCTCAACACACACATGAGAGTCATCCCCTGAGCTTGACATTACCTCTGATATTGAGGGTTGAACATGGACATCAAAAAGCAGTGCTATAACACTGACCGGGGTTACCCCGTGTGTGTTAAATAGTTTGGACCATCGATTTCTTTATCTAGTCTCACGAGTGCAATGTGAAACGTAGATGAGAGTCCAGATTTGACACCTTTATAGAAAATCCATTTTATCGCAAAAATGTTTGTCAAAAATAGATTGCGTCATCAGATCCCAGAGTTGCTACCTAATATTTTGGGAAAAATTAGGAAACACGCGACTCATGCCAATGTCATTGTTTATGGTAACTAAGGATGTTTGGCTCGGAACCTTAAGTAGGAAGGGGGAATATCATTATTCGAACGGCTCATCCGATCAAAAGATTGGCCTTGACTAACCATCATATGATTTTTATTTCCATTATGTGTTCATATTCCGATTATTAATAATAAATCCTAAAATTTACTATGTAAAGCAAACAAATATAGACTGTGTTGTTCATTTTGGAACAACTTGATTTCATTATCTTGAAAAT